GATATATCCATCACATGAGCCTTTCAAAATAGGGAAACAGATCCCCCCCCCCAGCACTGCAGACAGGGAACCCATAACCTCCCTCTGGCTTACAACAGGACCAACAGAGACCCCACCTGATTTCATCTAGACTTGTGATTAAGCACCTGACACTGAGGCCCAATCCCCTGAGACTAGCACGCCTTCCCTCTAGCCCACCTCATCTGCCAGATTATTGTTGATGGTGATATCACACACTCCATGTGGACTTTCACCAGAGCCCTTGGAAGGATTTGACTGCTTCTTCACAGCAGTAGGGGAGCAGAAGCCAAGGAGAGAAAGCCCTGACTCAAGAATTGGCAGCAGGGACATTCCAGCTGTCCTTGCTACATGCTCCAGGGATAGTGGAAGCCAGCCTACTGGCCCAACCTGCGGCAAGAGTTGAGCCAAGACCTTGACAACTCAAGAGGGGAGACCCCTCCACATTCCACTTCCCTTAATTATTCTTCCTGATGGTCACATTACCCCAGTAGGTTATCAAGAGGTCTCTTTCATCCTTCCCCTCACAACAGCTCCCAAGAGGCTTGCCATTCTCATAGCAGCAGACAAGCCAGTATCCTAGCCCTCTAATGCAGGAACACACCTCTATATTGATCCACTCTGATGCATGGAGAGTTTTTTCTTTGTCCAAGAAACTGATGATGGCATTATAAGTAATAAAACAATAAAGCAGATATTCAGGAGCCTTTTAACACAAGCAACAGACCAAAATATAAGTGCACATAAAGCAAATTCTTCATTGCTACTGCTTGAAATAAAATGGTAGAAGGGTATTCTTTGCTTTCTTAATATGAAGAACACCAGTGTCATCTATATATATATATAAAGCATTTAGGTATGTATCTGCTCTTCGTCAGTTGTAATGAGTTTGCAGCAACACCGATGGAGGCACCACTTGATGGTTCTACAAGAGAGGGGATATGTGCGTAGCAAATAACTTCAGAGTACATATGCTAGAGTAACATTTCAGCAATTATGTTTGCATCAATGGATGAGGAGATTAAATTGCCACCTAGAAGTGTCCATACTGTTTCTGGATACATGGCCAAATCTACAGTTTTGTCTCACTGCTGTATCGAAATGGTATGAACAACTATGATTTGATCCTGCTGAAGCAACAACAAAACAGCTTGAAAATCAATCAGATCAAGGGTGTATGGCTGATGTAATGCAATCACTGAACAAGATGCTGTGACAAGTCCCCCCATTTGCTGAGTCATACAAGCAAATGCATAAAATGAAGCAGAATGTATGAATAAATAAAATACACTGATATTTAATTAATAACCTTTAAGGTCTGCTACAATGACTTATGTTGCACTGGGTATAGCCAGTTCAGTATAATGTTCTATGATCTTGTGTCATAATGAATATTTAAAAAATATACAAATTTTGTATTTGTTATTTTTGTCTAAATTGAGAAAGAATAGTGTGGTATCCTTGCAAAGAATGAGAAATAAGAACAGTGACACATCCAGAACTTTTTTTAAGTGTATTGCAGAGAGGGAGATAAATCTGTGGTTATTCTTCACCTTGCATTCATTACAGGTATATAGACTCACTCTAGCTGTCTTTACTAATAAAGATGGCCTCATGGTCATCTAGAGGGGAGCCATTTTTGACACCCCTACTGGAATTGAACTCCATTCATCCAATCTGTAACAGACATTTTATGGAGTAGGATGGCAGTAAAAAGCCAGAAGATGCCTGAGAATATGGCATAAAGCCTGTGTGTATGTGTGATAAGTAAGTGAACTACCTACATTAAGATCACAGAAAGGAACTGCATGGAATGAACCCCTACACATCTCTCCTGAACTGCTGTGCTTACTTCCATTGTACTCCCATGCAGCCACACAGATGTTGGTAATGATAAACTTCCTTAGCTAAATGAGCATGGGCTGGCTGACATATGCTGGAGGTGACTACAAAGGCCACCCCTGCTACCTGTGGGACTTCTTTCTGTGGCCTCAGTATGGTGATGGATGCAGTTCAATTATACATCTATATAGTGCAGCAAGCTGCCATGATGAAAATAACTTTACATAAGTCTTTATGCAATTGCATCAAAAGACTTGTGTTTTTCATTTACCTACTGTTCCCCACTGTAAACTTAACCTAAATGTATGATAGGTAGCTGAAGAAGTAATATTTATAGTAGGTTTTACCTTTACGTGTACAGCTCAAAATGACTGGTGGTATTTTAGCCACTCTTTTATTCCTCATAATATGAGATCTTAATGTAACTCGTAGTTGTTTTATTTTCTTGCGGCATGTCACAGAATTTCTAGTAGCAAGCATGCATAATATTTTTTCTTTCATTTGCCACTGTTGCTTTAAACTTTCTAATTCTGCCTCTGTATCTGCTCCAGCATCAACTTCAGCTTGTAGTACACAGGCTTCCTTCTGAAGGACAAGCAACTGAAAACAGTGTCAAATTTATGCAAATTATCATCCATTCTTAGCTGAAAACATAAAGCATGTGGATTATGTTTTTGACAAGATATCAGGGTATGGAATTGATGGTAATTATATCTGATAGGAGCACTGGGAATCTTTCTTATCAGTAACATCTGTGAAATTTCTCTATGACTCAGGTAGCATCCAGTGAATACCAGGTATACATTGCTTGTGGTCTAAGACACGTAGGTGACCATTCACTTTCAGCTATTGCTGAAGTTATTGTCGCAAAAATTTTGAATGGTTGAATGTCTGAATTTCTAACCACTCTCCTAAATATGATTAGGTTTCTTTCCATGTTTTGAACATTGAGCATCATTTTCTGAACCTCCAAATATCCAAACTTCTTATCTGCACATCATCAGGGAAGCCAGTGAAATAGCAACCCCCCCCCCATAATTTCAATTATGAAGATGAATAGAAAACAGCAGAATCATCTTCACCTTCCCCCTCCCAACCCTTCTTAAGTGCATGGCCTCCCATTCAGTAACACCATGCTGTACCCAGTCTCCATCCTTTCTTCCCCTGTGAGGCCTGTATATATTGATCCACTTTCCATTTTGGCCTCCTATTCACACTCAAGAGGGGGCACACGGTAGCATAGTTGGTGAGGGGCTATGCTACAAGCTGGAAGGTCACAGGTTCAAGTCCTGATGAAGTCATTGGATTTTTTTCATTTCACCTAATCCTTCCAGCCACACTATGGCCCTGGGGTTGACTCAGCCTCTCACAGAAATGAGTACCAGGAATTAATTAAATAATTTTCCTGGGGATTAAAGCGCGGCTGGCGTGTAAGGCTGACAACCTTACCGCCATCTTTGAGCCGATTTTCTAGATAATGCGGGACCCTCAACGTCTCACAACCCTGCGGACCTTCACGGCCTGGTACAGGGATAGCTTTACTTTTTTCTTTCTCACACTCAAAATGTTGACTGTAATGTATACTGAAACAAAGGAGCTTCAACATAAAATGCTCCTGAACCACAAAAGCTGAAGTTACACCCCCAATCTGTATTTGTCCTGTAGGGTGAGAAACTTCTACAACCATACAGAGACTACAGCTAATACAGTTCTATAAATTTTAATCATATATTTTGATAAGGGGATGTGAAGGCGAGAGATTGGTGAAATGAGTGGTATCAAGCATTCCTTGAATTTACTCTGCATCTAATTTCTCTGTCGAAGATGTTTTGATTTGTTACTCCATTCTAAAGTATGTGAATTTTGTCTCAGGTTGTAAGGATTTATTACTTATTTTTGTGTATTATGATACTGTCTTGCATATGAGTGTATATTTAGTTTTGGCTACTTTTACTTATAGATTAACATCAGTACTATATAGGGTTTGAGGTGCACATGGTAGTGTAGTTGATTGAAGCACTATGCTACAAGCCAGAAGGTCACAGGATCAAATCCTGATTAGTTCATTGCATTTTTTTTTGATTGACCTAATCATTCCAGCTGCACTATGGGCCAGAGGTCGACTCAGCCTCTGAGAGAAATGAGTACCAGGAATTTTCCTNGGATCAAATCCTGATTAGTTCATTGCATTTTTTTTTTGATTGACCTAATCCTTCCAGCTGCACTATGGGCCTGAGGTCGACTCAGCCTCTGAGAGAAATGAGTACCAGGAATTTTCCTATGGGGTAAAAAGGGCAGCTGGCATGTAAGGCTGACAACCCTACTGTCACCTATGAGCTGACTGTCTAGAAGATGTGGGAGCCTTGACCTCTCACACACTTATGGACCTTCACGGCCTGTTACGGGGACAGTTGTACCTGTCCTATAAAGGGTTTGAGGTTTCCATGGCATTGGAGGTACATACTGTCATCATCTGGGTTATGGAACCATGTAGTCTGGTAGGCAAGTACCAACAGTTTGAAGAACCATAGTGCCCCCATCTTCAGGAAATGTACCACACCTCAAGATGGAAGAAGTATACTCTTTAGGAGAGCTGGTTGTCACTTATCAGATTTCATGGTAGGATAACCTAGATGACAAAAAGTGTAGATATTATCTCTCAATAATGTGTCTGGATTTTTCTGTATGGTATGTGTTTCTGCCAGATAGTCCTATACAGATTGCTGAGAAAACAATAGCGGTGTCATCTCATAACTGCCAAGAAAGTGATCCAGTGTAAACTTAAGTCACATTTCAAAATATTGATATTGCCCACAAATCTAAACCAAATTTCTGAGGCATATTTATTAGTCACTATATAAAATGGGATGCATAATGTAAGGTCACTAATCTCCAACTCAGTAATTTTTATTTTACAGTTAAATTTTTTAGGTATGTAATGAGCCCACATGTTCTAAGGAGTATTTATTTTGCATATTTTCATGCTTATTTGGGGTACATTTTGATTTTATAGGGTGGTCATATTAATTAGCAGATTATATTTGTGTTTGTTTTTAGGAATGTCTGTATTCCATAATAGTATGAATAAACTCAGTTGAAGTATTTATGTTACTTTTAGATATGTATCCCGTCAAAGATGAATATATATGAATTAAACTGAACTGAATAAGCACAGACCAGGCGCTGATAACTTCCAGTCATTTCCACACACCAAACCACGAAAATTTAATTCCTACACAAATGTATATCATCTTACATCATTTTCTGCTTCTTTCATCAATAGTTCAAATACTTTCCTTCTCATAATTTCATATAGACATTAACGCATTACATTAATTCATAAGATTATGCTACAATTATTGCAACAATGACAACCAGGGGTTTCTTACGAACCCGGTCGACCCAGTAGGCCCGGTAGTGAATACTCTGGTTCATTCAATTCAAGGCGGGAAAGATCTAGATTAGCTGAATGTCTATTTCGAGAAAGAGCCCCATAGAATTCATGACAATATTGTGACCCATGGAATTAATAACAATATTATGACCCATTTCTTTCTATTTTTTCAACAAAATATCAAGACAGTTTAATTTTAAAGCCACAAATTGCAATCCATGGATCCCTATGATGTCTAGGAGACGGTGGCAGGTGCGAGCAGAATTTCTAGTATCCTCTATTACAAATAACAACAATCAAAACAACCATAAATGTCTACATTTCAAATATTCATGTCGTAAATAATGTGTGATATTCCTTAATCTTCCATCAGAAATTCAGTTATTTCGCAGTAGCTGTGCTATCTCTCTGTAGCTCACCCGTGGATCCGTGATTCGATATGTTCGATATTGCGTTGCTAATTTGAGACACAATTTAGGTAATCCATTTCGATCCATTTGGTGATCCGAGATCCATGGTTCCAATAATGGCGGACAGAAACGAAAAGCAGTTGATGGAGCTGCTAAAGAGACCTGGAAATAATGTGTGTGCTGATTGTGGGAGCAAAAGTAAGATATTTTAAGCATTTTTAAGTTGTCCTACAATCATGTAACAGATAGAAGCCACGTATTTACAAAAGCTGTAAGGGGGGACATTAGGGGCATTAACATTTGACATCAGTATTAGTTTCTTGTGACTTGTTGGACATGACATGTATTGGTCGTTATATTAATTTATTGTAATTAAATCTGTTACTGAATTCATCTGCGTTTAGTACATTGTGCGGTGTTCATGAGTGCTACTTTTCATTATTATAATGGTTCTCAACCAACATTAGGTATGGGGTATGTAGGATGGAAGAGGATTGTAAAGCCGTAGTCCATTCTGTAATTTATCAGAAGAATGTGAAGGAACAAAGATGATACATACTATGAACTCATTTACCCATATGCACATTTTTATGGCAGCAGTCTACATTGAAGATGAAGGTGTAATTCAAATTTACATTATGATGGAAAATTATAAAATATAAATTTTGAAAGGCACTGTGTTTACATTAAAAAGTGTGGTAAATTTATTAGCTTAGGGGCCAGTTCTTGTGCCCTTGCATGAGTTGAAATTGCTTTCGTAGTGCATGGTGAAAATTAATGTTCCTACTATCAAAAGTTGTAGATGACTTGCTTTTTATCTTCTTATGTCTCCCGTCAGTAAAATTTTAAGGTTATACAGCCATCATACCAACCTTTCCATGTTTCCACAGCACATATTAAACAATGCACATACTTATGGCTTCAGAGAGGTCATAGTATTAAAAATGCAAATAAAAATAATTTTGTAAGATTTGAGGTTTTCACAGCAGCATCTGTGAAGAATGTCATCATCTGGGATGTGGTACCATGTAGATATTGTGTAAACTGACATGTCAGAGAAATGTGAAGATGGAGGCAGTACGTTCTTCTGAAATGCACACAATATCTACACAGTGCCACATTCCAGAAGATGGCATACTTCAAAAATAATTTTATTTATTTGTTCACTCATATATGCCACTCTGGATGTTACATACAAGCTTTGCTTTTCTGACACTTGAGGCATTCATATTTCTTCTTTATGGTATACATCCTGTTGTCTGTAATTCACTAAAAGGTTATGATTTGAGGCAGTCTACACAACAATAAGCTTAAGCAAATAAACAAGATAGACACTATCATGTCAACATCTGCTTTATTTTGCTGTCGATAACTTTGCTGCATGTTTCGACCCTTACCTGGGTCATCCTCAGGTGAACATGAATAATTCGTGTCAGATTTCTAGTTGTGTCATTTATTTAATATGACTTCATTCATAATTCAGAATTTATTTACATCCATGAACTGTTACACAAGTACAATTGGGCAAGTCAGTTTAAGCCATCTAAAACACTACAAGTCAACAAATCTTAAAAATGTACAAAATGATGCACAAGACTAAGAACAATACAGTCATCTTAGGATCATTGTCCCCCAGCTGAAGCTTAGCAACTCGGATGACAACCCCCTACAGTCCAATATAAAGCAACGCATACACTTATACCGTCTGTATTGATCCATACCACATCAAAACCAATCCAAGCCAGTAAACTACTGCCCATCATTGTCACTAAAAACTCCTGAAGAGAATAAAAAGTGTTGTAGTAAACAAATTTTTAATTTATTTTTAAAAACTTTAAAATTTTCTATTCTTTTTTTATTCAAGGGGCAAACTGTTATGTGTTTTAATTCCCATGTTAATTATACTTATTATACAAAACTACAATTTTGCCTGTGGGTCTGTATGGGTGTGAAACTTGGTCTCTGACATTAAGGGAGGAACATGGACTGAGAGTGTTTGAGAACAGGATGTTAAGAATATTTGGAACGAAGAGGGATGAAGTGACAGGAGGTTGGAGAAAACTGCATGATGAGGAGCTTCATAACTTGTACTCTTCTCCAAGTATAATTAGAATCATCAAGTCAAGGAGGATGAGGTGGGCAGGGCATGTAGCACAAATGGGGGATATGAGGAATGCATATAGAGTATTGGTGGGAAAGCCAGAAGGAAAGAGACCACTGTGAAGACCAAGGTGTAGGTGGGTGGACAATATTAAAATGACTCTTAGAGAGACTGGATTGGATGGTATGGATTGGATTGATCTCGCTCAGGATAGGGACTAGTGGAGGGCTCTTGTGAACACGGTAATGAACCTTTGGATTCCATAAAATGCTGGGAAATTCTTGAGTAGGTGCAGATTTGACTTCTTAAGAAAGGCTCCGTAAGTAAGTAAGTAAGTGTGTGGGAAGAGGAATGCTCAGTACTTACCGACCAGATGGTCATACAGGAGAGGTAGCAATTTACATGTTGTCATAGAAAGAAACAGTGAAAGCTAGTAAAGCAGATTTTGTAATTTTGCCCTTCTGTATTCCAATTTCTCTGTGTCCCCAGCAGTCAGTGTAATTCCCTCAATTGTTCTTCGTGCCATCTTGGTGATAGGGCAATTTCATTGTAATTTTTAAGTGTACACTGCGATTCTAAATTATTGTCGGGGTTTCCATGGCCTATAATTTTCAAACCGGAAGCAGCAAAATAAAACTGCCTAAGAGAATGTGAAATTGTAACTCAGAAAGTTGATTCTATAGATAATAAAACTTTTTGAATTACACATTCATATTTCGTAAGCATTTTATTTTGGTCTTTCCAGTTTGAAAGTTATAGGCCACTAAGACTCTGACAGTAATTTAGAATCATTCTGTACATTCATTGGTACTTGACCCACTGTATTAAAACATGGAGACATGAAAGTCCAGTATTAATGTATGATATGAAGCTGTCACATGCTTTTAATATGAAGAAGAAGAAGAAATTAAGTACAGGTTGTTTATTCATCACATTCTGACCAATAAAGGTCATTAGAAAGGACATGATTTTGCTTGTTTTACAGATCCAGAATGGGCCTCTTACAATATAGGTATATTTGTATGCACACGATGTGCAGGGGTTCATCGAAGTATGGGAGCTCACATCTCAAAAGTAAAACATTTGAAGCTTGATCGATGGGAAGATAGTCAGTTAGAACGCATGAAAGAGGTTGGCAACAATGCAGCCCGTCTCAGATACGAAGAGAGAGTGCCTCCATGCTACCGAAAGCCTGTTGAAGATGACCCACAGTGAGTGGAGATTGTCATAGCATTTACTTATTGCCTTGTTGTCTCTGTGTACTTCTTTTTTGCATTTACTTCTGTAGTATTTAAGGACCACTGATAACTGAATACTGGTTGTGGATAGAGGAATGAACAGAGCAAACTATAAACTGATTATTATAATTGCAGGGTGTATTCCATGAAGTATACAATTTCTAAATGTATTTTTCTAATAATTGTTTCAAGAGTGCTTGTTTCAAGAAAGGGTAAATTGTGGTGCTGAAGCTGCTCCTTGCTCTGTAACTCTAATCTTATTCTACTGGAATGGATTCCAGAGAAGCTACAAAAACTTGTAAGTTTTGAGGTTTTCACGGCGATGACAATGAAGAAANTTATTTGAAATAATATAAATGTTTCTTATTGTATTTTTCATATTTTCTTTATCTTCAACAAACTGTATTTACTGTATATGTATATGTATAAGCCACATCTAGAATTGCAGGTCAAGAATTTGGAATAAGTAGTATCTTGTATGTAAACAGCTTTGGGTTTTACATATGTGAAAGTAAAATATTTGTGCAAGGTACACAAAAGTATTCAGTCTACACAAGCATATTCTGTATTTAAAACAAAGTAGACACTATCATATCAACATAGGTTTTTATTGACGCAACATGTTTCAACCCTTATACTGGGTCATCATCAGGCATACAATGATACCAGGCTCAGTTGTTGAATTTCATCTAATTCTTCAGTAAGGATTCTTATTGTGCACTTGAGTGTTTCTAAATGCATAAATTGAGTCTTTCAGTTAAAATGTTTAAATATTCAGATAATAAAAATTAGAGACTAAAAATTAAAACATAAAAATTAAAATTGTAGTAAATGGAAATGAAGTATTTTGCAATAAATCTCTTTAAAACTTTGTGACTGTTACATGTTAACATGATTTTCTAGAAGTAGAAGTGACTGCAGTGTGGGGCGCCTGTGTATCGGGATCTTCTCACATGAGTTAGGTCGTGTGGTCTTGACCTGCTATCTTGTGGAGCTTATGCTAGTTATTCTGTATGTCACCCAACAGGTTGTTTATTTGGAGTGATGTATATTAGATTTTCTTACGTTGATATGTGTATGGGCTGCTCCCTGTGTTGGTGTTGTTGCTACAATATTTTAGTACAATTTTAATTTTTATGTTTTAATCTTTAGTCTCTAATTTTTATTATCTGAATATTCAAAAATTTTAACAGAAAGACTCAGTTTATTCATTTCAAACACTCAAGTACACAATAAGGATCCTTATTGAAGAATTAGATGTAATTTGTTAAATGCAATTCAACAACTGAGCCTGGTACCATTGTATGCCTGATGATGACCCAGGGTAAGGGTAGAAAAATGTTGCGTCAGTAAAATCATATGTTGATATGACACTGTCTACTATGATTTAAATACAGAATATTGTTGTGTAGACTGCATATTGATTGTGCTGTGGTTCTGAACATGAGCAGAAAGAGTTGATGTAGACACTTGCGTCTCTTTGTCTGGATCCCGCGAATGATTTCTGGCAGGCTTTCAGCCTCACTGTGAGCATAGGCACTATTTACTGACAGTGTGGAGGTATGGAAAATATAAAGTTTCTATTTTATGTAACTCAGTGACCAAGGTAAATTCTTGTGAATGGCCACTTATCCTTACTACAATAAATACTGTTAAATTTCATTAGGAAATGCACTCTGTCCTCTTATCCATCTTCTTTTTTGCTGAAGGTGGACAAGTCAAAGCACATCTGCTAATGAAATTTGACAGAATTTGTTGTGTTAAGTGTAGATGGTCATTTGCAGGAAATAACCTTAATAATGCATAGAATGCTATGAAATCATTCAAGTTTAATTCATTTGCATTGTTTTGCCTAGCACTGCAGTAATGTATTTTTCATCAATCCAGGGTTCTGGTTGAGCAGTGGATTCGAGCAAAGTATCAGCGTGAGGAATTTTGTCATCCTGAACGTCAGGGTTATGTATCAGGATACATGGAAGGGTTCCTTATGAAGAGAGGTAAAGAGGACAGCCGTTATCATCCCCGTAAATTTGTTTTATCTGAAGCTGATGACACATTAAAATACCATGTGAAAGAGGTATGTGCGTTGAATTGTAATTCATGTAAACTGTATTCTTCAGGCTGTACTGCAAAGCATTCTTTACAGGAATATTTTGGTTATAAATCTTTTTAAGGTGTGAGTAGTTGTCTTGCTTTACAATTAAAAGAAGACAAGGTTGTCAGTCTGTATTCTGGTTTTTAGATGCTTATTTTAGATATACACAATTTTTATTTTGAATTGTTTTGAATTGTTTCATTTTGGTCCATATCGTAGCAGCGTCCACACGACAAACATAATTGTGAACATCAAAAAAGCGACAGTGTTTCCATAATTGTAGCAAGTGCCTCTGATGATGGTTGTGTCAAACCGAAACATGTAAGGCAGAAATAATAAAAAAGGGACCTACAAATTGTTACACTTGATGGACTTTCTACTAACTTTGTGACAATTTTTATATTACTGTATACTAGTCTTTATTTCAATTTATTATATAATTAATGTACAGTTGTGACTGTAACAAGGACAATCTCCACATCAGCATGAGAATGTATTCTCGACAGGATTTATGAAAGGAGAATTAAATGAAATGCATACTGAGTTCTGGAATTCATATTTGCAGATCTTTTCTTTTAAAATGAAGTTAAATCATTAAAATGTCACTTGTTTGCATTCTTGTGTTTGGAATGTTGATAGGGTCTTTATTATCTATTCTCCAATTTGTGTGCGCATGTGTTGACCTTTCTCTTTCAGAGTAGTATTAATAATTTATTGTTGATTGTCACAGCAGCCCAAAATTTGTTGCACATTCAGAGCACACTATTATTTGTATTAGTGACTAAGATCACCATGATACCCAGTGACTTTGTAGTGAATTACTTTAAGGATTTTTCTGTCATTCTTCAAATAAGTAGTAAGAATTTATACTTTGCACAACAGTGAAATTGTTCCCCAGTAAACATGGCATCTACTAATAGAACATAAGCAAAATAAAAATGAATTTCACTAAAGAATCCATATGTTGTATACATAGTAGAATGTACATTGCTTATCATCTTCACAGGTCAGCTAGTATTGCAAGACTAGGAGCATATTGTGGCTAGGAATGTAGGCTCTGTTGTTGACAGTCTAATCTAAATTTTTAAATAGTAATGTTTCCATATCCAGAATAAAACTAACTCTGTGGAACTGAGCCCATTTTATGGAACCCAGAAGTTCATTACATATTTCACAAGAGCCCACCACTTGTTCCTACCCTGATCCAGATGAATTTATTTCATACCCTCCTGTCCTACATTTTTAAGATCCATTTTATTATTATCACATATTTGCCTACATCTTCAGAATGGTCTCCTTGCCTCAGGTTTTCCTACCAAAATTTTGTATGCATTTCATTTTTGTCCCATGTGTGCTGTGTGTCCTTCCCAGCTCATTCTCCTTGATATATTCAAAATGTACATAAGACAGGCATGACATAGTTTGTGTTTTTTCTTCCGACAGAAGAAGGATCCAAAGGCAGTTTTAAGGCTGTCAGAATTAAATGTTGCATTTGCACCTCAGAAGACTGGAAATTTAAATTCCCTTCAGCTTACATTTATTAAAGATGGTTCTACTAGGCATATATATGTTTATCATGATGATCCTGCAGTTATTGTTAATTGGTATATGGCTATTCGATGTGCTAAACTTCACAGACTTCAAGTTGCATATCCAGCTGCAAATGAATCTGAGGTATGGCTGTATTGCACATATATGTTGTATGCTTTGGTTAAGTACCTTAATGTCATAACTTGCTGAACTTGATTTTATGGTGCTTTGGTAACCTGATTCACATTTAAAATATTCATGGCATGATACTAAGAATACAATTCATACACTTACTTACTTATGGAGCTGAGCCCTTCTTCAGGAGAAGCCAATTCTGCAGCTACTCAAGAATTTCCCAGCATTTTATGGAACCCGAAGGTTCATTACTGTGTTCACAAGAGCCCTATCCTGAGCCAGATCAATCCAATCCATACCATCCCATCCTATCTCTCGAATATCCATTTTAATATTGTCCGCCCACTTATACCTTGGTCTTCCCAGTGGTCTCTTTTCTTCTGGCTTTCCCACCAATATCCTATATGCATTCCTTGTCTCCCCCAATTCATGCTACATGCCCTGCCAATCTCATTCTCCTTGACTTGATCATTCTAATTATGCTTGGAGAAGAGTACACATTATGAAGCTCCTCATTATGCAGTTTTCTCCAACCTCCTGTCACTTCATCCCTCTTTGGTCCAAATATTGTCCTCAACATCCTATTCTCAAACACCCTCAGTCTGTGTTCCTCCCTTAATGTCAGAGACCAAGTTTCACACCCATATGGAACCACAGGCAAAATTATAGTTTTGTATATTCTAATTTTTATTTTTTGGACAGCAGACGAGAAGACAAAAGGTTCTTAACTGAATGGTAGCAAGCATTACCCGAGTTCAATATCCTCTTAATTTCCTCCTCAATCAGGTTTTGATTTGTTATCGTTATTCCCAAATATCTGAACTGTGCCACATTTTCAAAACATCTGTTTCCTATCTTTATATCATGATTTTGCCCTGCATTTTGGTTACGAGACAGACAGCAATATATACTCAGTTTTCCCTGAGTTTACTTCTAGACCAGCCTCCTTACTTGCATAAATTAAAGTTTGTTTGTTTTTCTTTATGGTATCTACATTATCGCTCAGTAGATTCATATCAGCATAGACCAACAGCTGATGTGTCCCATTTAATTTCAGCCCCACCTGGTTTTCCTGGACCTTCCTAATGGCATATTCTAAAGCAAACTTGAAAAGGAGTGGCGATGAAGCATCTCCTTGTTTTAGACCATTCTGGATAGGAAGTTTATCAGACAAATGTTTACCTATACGGACAAGCTGTTTTGGCAGGTTTTCTCAGAATCCCATGATTATCTGTCATTCAGTACAACTTCGTCGCTACTTGGGGTCCAGCATGTTGATCAGGTTTTCCTTATCATTTTTACCCTTTCTCTTGTGTAGTATATAAAGTGTGTATGTATCTCAAGGGATGTAAACAGTTATTTAAAATTGCTTTGAAAACTGGCAGTCAGTCTGTTAAAAGTACTGTTATGCTGTTTATTACGGAGGAGAAGAGTTCTTATGCAGCCAGGCATGAGTCACTTCCTATTGGCTTGGAGCAGGAAACAAAAAAAATATGACAAATATCTGTTTGCCTAATAGTATAGTGCTTGAACTCATTCAGTATGCCAATCTATAGCTACTAGCTTAACGCTTCAGAGTAACTCCCTTGTACACTGAAACGGAGCTCTTCTGGCTAGTGGACAGTATGTTATTTTGGATGCAGGATTCTCACCTGGAGGCTTGTGGTCAACCCCAAAGTGGTATTTATCACATTTTCAGGGAGAAAAGGACACTGGGGAAAGTTTTTAATTCTCCTCTGCCTGTTTTCTTTCTCCCAGTGCTTGATAGCAATTTGTTACTGTCCCTTTGGTGTGTGGCACACCTGACAGAGTTTTTGTTGGAATCAGGCTGAGATTAATTTTTTGCAAACACGTATACTAGTAAATAAGATTTATGAGTTCATGATCATTAATATAGTTATTGACTTCTTAGACATTAGCCACTGTCCTTTTTTTTATTAGCCAAATTCCTTATTTTGAAAAAATAAAAGGAGGCTTATGAGATCACCTTGCTGTCTGTGTGTCTGTGTATGGGGGATCCTGAATCCAGTCCAGTCCAATGAATTGTTGCTGGCCCTCACCAACACAGCTCATCTTGGTTTTGGCCACCATTGGGACCAATAACCATATTTTTGTTCTTTCCAGACTTTTGCATGTTTTGAAATTGGCTTCCTCTTCAACAAGAAGAGGGGTCTGACTATTATTGGTCATTTCTCCCCTCTCTTGTGGAGGGACTGCTGGCTCTCACTTTCACCTAACTCCTGAACATACAGTTTTCCTTTATGTATAACTCTGGGTCAGACTGCAGAGAACACTGCCTCCAACAGTTCCTCTGTTGGTGGCATACTTTCCTTGTATGTCTGTATATATATATCCCCTCTATCATTGCTAGGCAATGGCACAGTTGTTAAACAGTGGCTCAGTAAACACATTCCGATGGCAACGCACACACACAAAAATAGAAGAATTATTGGAATGTCATTTTCTTTGCAGTTCATGTCATATTAAATCAAAGTAGGCGATTAGTAGTTCCCAGAACTTCCTGTTTCAAATAGCGATTCAGAAATTGGACTCTTCCTCTGTCCTTTACATTATGCGTGACGATATGTGCAAGGCCTCATGTATGTGACATTTGGAAATGTGTGTCTTAACTCCTGCAGATAGATTATGTTGTGTTTGGTTTATATATGCCACTTTGTGTTGGTTCTGGTGTCTGGAGGTGGGGACTAGCCCAACTGAGTAGGCCTCTTACCTGAGGACAGAGGCAGAATTCTGTCTCCAAAATGTTGTTTTAAATAAAGGCAGGATGATGACTAATGTCCATAAAGTCAATAATTGTATAAATGTATTAATCTTTGTAACTGAATTAGTATTATGTATTTACTTTGCCTTCTAAACATTAGACGGATGAAGCCAGGGAGTCATATTGTTGCAAGTGCATAATTTTGTAATATCTTGCGATTATATAAGCATGCATGAAACTAAACACATTTCAAGTATTATTTTAATTGGAAACTTCTCCAAATCCAGTACTGAGATATGCATTGTGTAATCATGTTTCATATTAACAATTTTCCATTATTGCAACATGAATTATTATATATTGATTAATTTATTTTTTATGCAATAGTTGGTTGGACATTTGACGAGAGACTTCATTCGTGAAGGTTGGCTGTATAAGACGGGACCACGTAGTTCAGATGCATACAAGAAAAGATGGTTCACCATGGACAATCGGAAACTCATGTATCACGATGATCCTTTGGTGAGAAACAAACTCATTTCCCTGAAATGATGTTGCACTGCAGTGAGGAACATATGATCTTTCTGATTTGAAATTCAGTTTGAGCCCATCTTGTTTTCAGTTTCTTATGTAACTCTAATTTCCCTGGTGTTTAAGCCGCCGAGGCGTGAAGTTGAGCACTTAATTAGTTAAGCGCAAGGGGAAACTTTACCTTTTTTACCTCTTACCTTATCATAAAATATAAAAGTATAAATCTTGACTTCAGCCTTAAAAACATTTTATGTAGCCTACGTACTTATGAGGGGGGACCCAAAAATAACCGGAAATGACCTGTTGCGCGCGCATGCTTTGTAGTTATGAGTTGTGCTGCTAGGTGGTGTTAGCTGGGGGTCTCCCGCGACTGTTAGTGAGCTGGCGTTAGTCTGAGTTAAGTGGTTTGTCTGTGGTGCTCTGTTGTGTGCGTTCCTGTTTCATCCCTTTGGTGATTAGTGAGATGCCCAACCAGAAGGAACAAAGAGTGTGCGTGAAATTGATGAAGATCATCGAAAGACCATTGACCAACTTTCTGAGGAAACGAACATCTCATGGAGCACGGTCCAGCGAATTTTAACCGAAGGTTTGCACATGAGACGGGTGTCTGCAAAATTTGTTCCTCGCTTGCCCAGAGATGACCAAAGAGAAAACCGCGTGAATGTTTGCCGCGACTTGAAGAGTGAAGTGCAGTTTTCCCTAACAGAAAGCAAAATTTCCTGCACACTCTTTGTTCCTTCTGGTCGGCCATCTCACTAATCGCCAAAGGGTTGAAACAGGAACGCACACAACAGAGCACCACAGACAAACCACTTAACTCAGACTGACGCCAGCTCACTAACAGTCGCGGGAGACCCCCAGCTAACACCACCTAGCAGCACAACTCGTAACTCCAAAGCATGCGTGTGCAGCAGGTCGTTTCCGGTTATTTTTGGGTCCCCCTTCATAGTATTGTTGAATCCATGTTTCAAATATGAACTTATTTTGGTTTGTCTTCCACTTTTGTACTGTGCTTTGCCTACATCTTGCCTCATTTCCAACACAAGTAACTGATTTGTTGTATTATGGGTTACAGTCCACAAAACTGCTAATGGAGCCCAATTTTTGTTTCACTTCTGAAAATCTGAACTTTGTACATGTTTCTTCTTCTCAACCTTATTAAGCCAGTCATGAACATCATTCAGGTCAGCTTGAAATTCTCCAAGAAACATGCAAAATAAAAGCATTGTTCAAATTATTGTGATTTCTGAATTGGTGAGATTTCACTGTATTTGAGATATGAACTGCATTGGGGAATTGTAAACTCGTACTGATTTGTAGATCTGTTAAGTGCCATTAGTGTCTTTTAGATCTGTAATGTTTTCTGAGGTACTGGTGCCTGTTTCAGCTCACTCTTTAGAAAGCCAATCTAAACTGTGATCTTGTTTAACAGCAAGAATATTGACATGTGTTAGTGATTAGACATGGGATTTGTACTGATGATTGGATTTATTGAGTATTCATAACTCATAATACAAATAACTATAACACTTTCATTAATCTGCAAACTCTGCAAATCACTGTAACACACACTAAGACTTTTCAGATTGGTCTGTCTCAACCAGTCATTACTTGGTAATGACTTCTAACAATGGAAATTTCTCAGCTTCTCTACTCACAGCCAACCATCGATTGTGACATCTGACTTATATCATAGTGTAGACCAGCACACTTGTTCTTGGTTTTGGGACTCACAGCTAACTGGTCCTATTGGTCCTTGTTATATAGGCTTGGCATGAACCACCACCACTTCCTGTAGTTCTATTATTGTTGCAGGTGTATTTATTGCTGTGGAAATGTGTTTATCATGCCATTGGCTGGCAACAGCTGTCTTTTCTTCCTCTGCTGTTGTCTTTCAGGCATCATGTTACAGTATTCTCTCAACAACTGTGGAGAATGTTGGTTTGGCTGGATCCATAGTTTGCATGCATTTTTCATATTTCATAGAACTTAAACAGATGGTATCTAAATTAATCCTTTCTTAATGTGAGGTATTTTATTCTATTATGACAGGAAATTTCATGCTCATGCCTATTCTATAACATTGTTGCCATACAGTGTTTAAATTTCTTATTTTCCCCCATACCTCTCTCCTCTTAGCGGTTGCTGATGTAAAATTATCCATGAAGATTACATTTTTGGGCTTGTAATGCCATGTAGTTCAGAGAGCCTGGAGTTCTGAAACTTTGGACTGTCTCAGAACTACAAATGGTGCTTCAGTCCAGAAGACTGTACTTCAAAGTCCCCTCCATGAGAACCTGAAATGTGACATTATCCTGGTTTTGTATCCGATTAGTTTTGGTTTCTTAATCACGAAATATGCTCTTAGTTTTATGGCTTCTGTCTTGTTCTTTCTTGACTTTTATTGTTAAAAATTATATGTTACAGGATGCTCACCCAAAAGGAGAGATATTTCTGGGGCACGTATTGGATGGGTACAGTGTTAGGGTCGGTGTTCCACCTGGAACAAGGGATCAGGGTTTTTCTTTTACTCTTCGCACACCTGAGCGCTCATACAATCTGTCTGCTGCTAGTGATGAGGATCGGGATGAATGGATACAGGCTATAGACAGTGTGTTGGAGCGCCCGCTTACTCCGCAGGATAGTTCTAGTAAGTACCAAGAGTGCAAAGTTGTTTGCTTATGTGAAGTTCCACAGATGGATTGTCATAACAGAATATTCCCAGTTAAATGTTTCAACGTTTATCTGAAATATGTTTGTTTTTATATCTATTAGAAGTTTGAAAATTTGAACAAATTACTCTCTCTCTCTTTTTCTTGGGGTGGGGTGAAACTGAGTCCACTTGGTACGTCAGCCATTGTTTGACCTATTGTACCAACCCTGGATCATGTTTGATGATGAATGTGGAGCAGTTGACATGAGAATTGGGAGTTAAAAGTGAAGTACTGGAAGACTACATTGCCCAGAGCCACTTTGTTCACAAAAAATCCCACATGACCTGACCTGGTATCGAACCTGGACTATGAAGGTGGGAAGCCAACAACTAACCACCTGAGCCATGGCATGGCCTTTAATATAAAATTGTATTTCTAATTGGTCATGATATCCCTTACTCATGTTTTATTACCATCATTTAATAAAGGTGTTCTGTACAGAATTTTGTCAGAATGGTGGGAAATTCAGGAGGTAAAGGAAAAGATAAATATGGTGTACCTGTAAGGTATTTTCAGTGTTAAATCACAATTTGTATATATGAGATTATCAAATTAATGCCCATATTCAGGTTAGTATTATAGAATACTTGGCTTATCAGAGTGATTTGTTAATGTCAAAAGATGTGTGAAACTTTTTTAAGGGTTTGAAAATTGGGAAGAATATAAACTGAAAATATAAGAGAACAGGGTGCTAAGGAGAAAGTTTGAACTAAAAAGGGATGAAGTGGTAGGAGGCTTGAGAAAATAGCAGAATGAGGAGCTTTGTAACTTGTACTGTTTGCCAGATATAATTGGAATAGACAAGTCAAGGGGGTGAGATGGGCAGGACCTACTAAATGCATGGGGAAGAGGAGGAATTCATGTAATATTTTGTTGGTGAAGCCAGACCTAGATATAGAGGGTAGGATAATACTAAAATATATTGTAACATGAAGAAAGCAGTCTTCTGGGATTTGGCACCGTGTATATGTGGTGTTAACCGACGTTTCGGAGGAACATATCTCCTCCATCTTCAGGGGAGAAGAAATCCCAAATCCCAGAAGACTGCTTTTTTCATAGTCACCACTGTGAAAGCCTCAAATCTTACATATTGTAACATGTTTGGGCTACCGAAGACGCCGTTTGGATTGGTAATTGGTTTTATTAACCACTTATTTACACACTCTCTCTTTAGTTACACTTAAATACAGCGGTATTAGTGATTTACACACTTTCAGTTCATTGTTTCACACGCACTGGAATTCTCTGTTTTCCACTAGTCATCTCCTAGCAACATTTCTCCACACAGAAACTGTCACTTCAAATCACTACAGATATTACACATGAAATTTTACATCCACACAGGGTGGCCTTCTGTATTCCTGGTATTCCACTTGCTTCTGCCGCTCTGAACTACTGCCAAATACTGACTAATGTTCCCAAGTCCAAGTCACATTGCGACTGACGGTCGGTCAGTCAGTAAGTCTTGGTGTCGAGCCCCATCTGGGCTCATGACCAGATATTTATTACTGTTTGGCATTTATGGTCTTGTTTTTGTGGGGTGCCCTCTCTGACGAGAGGACGGGTCTGCCTTTTGTATATTCTGCTGGCCCTTGCCAGTGCAGTCTTTCTCGGGGTCTGAGCCCCCTGGGATTTGAGACCATATTTTACTGTCTCAGATTTGAGACTTCCCTTTTTGTCACCTCCTACGACTCGCAGGGTCACTGACCACACAGAAAACAGCCTATATTGTTGGAATGTGTTTACTGAGCGATTGCCCAGCCACGGACTCCATAGAAACCAGTTATATGATAGCTATCACGCTACCACTGTTGCATGACATCACAGCCTAATGTGGAGGGGTGTTTACCTAGCATCGCATAGCTATATAATGACAAATTTTTACAGAACCGTGATGTTCCCCAGAAAGAGGAATTTAATGGGGTCATATAAGGACTTATAGATGGCTACAGATTGCTAGCATTTCCTCCAATCCATTGGCAGAAGAATTTGAAATAATACTTCTCAAAACTATATGTTCAAATACAGTGGAATTGGATCTTATTAAAGAAAATTGCATTCCAGTTTCAAGTTCAGTGTCATGTATTTTTTGAACATATTAATATTTAAGCGAACTTTGACTTCAAGCTAATTTTAATTTCAAGTAGCAAGGGTACTACAGTTCATCTGCTTTATTGTATGAACTGCATGCTACATTACTTTCTAATAGATGTGGTATGACAGTAAAGTTTTGCGAACTCATTGTGGTAAAAGTGCTGCGTACCTCATTGCTGAATATCACTACGGTTGCCTTCAAAGTACTCCCCTTGGGAAACTATGCACTGATGCCAGTGCCAAATCCACCCTTCAAAACAAATTTAGAACTGGTTTTGTGAAGGCGTTCAGAGCTGCCATCGTATTACTCTTGACGTCATCAGTGTTATCATAATGCCTTCCTTTCAATATTTCCTTTATCTTCAGGAACAGAAAAAAGTCACTGGGGGCTAGATCCAGTGAATTGGGAGGGTTTTCCAGCACAGTTATTTGTTTACTAGCTAAAATCTCCTTCACAGACAGTGTTCTTTGGTGAGCTCCTTTGGGACAATTTTTGTACACACCTTCCTCATGTCAAGATCTTCAGTTAAGATTTTCCTAACTGTTTCTCTGTCAATGTTCACTTGCTCTGCTATGCTCCTGACAGTCAGCTGACGTTTTCACACACAGTTTGATGAACTTTTGCAATGTTTTCTTCAATTCTCCTTTTTGCTGGCCATTCTGATCTCTTTTCAGCAGTGAAACTCTCTCTTCTCTCAGAAAAACGTGTCACCCACTTGTAAACTTCTGTTTTCCTCATAGCTTAAACTTGCACTAACATCTCTCTGTTTTCGCTTCCACTCTTGCCAAGTTTAACAAGAAGCTCCAACATTCTTGCAGTGGCACATGAAAACACACTCAGATGATAATAGACACCACTCAGAAAGAGACTGTCATATATCAACAACAACACAGCTGTGAAACACTGATATACCAAAGTCATCAAACTATACTGATGTTTCTATCCGCTGCTACTATGGCAAGCACACAGTGACAAGTTCACAAACTTTATTGTCAGACCTCATAATTTGAAATTATCCATGTAGAGGTAAAGTTGTCTGTGGGCTTAATTAAACTCCATGTGATGAAGAGAGTGGAGGTATAACTCCACTATTCTTGACCTTGGCACTAGATGAAGGTGAGTTGTCAGCTTCATGACCTGAGCATGTTACCTCTGGGCTAAGAGTCCCCATACCCATTGTATGGGAGGCTGTGTGGCCCTCAGAGTCAGACTCGACATTGTGAAGCTGAGAAAATTTTCTTTCCTGGCCTGCAATCAAATACTGGCTATGCAGCCCATAGTCAGTCTCTATAACAGCTTAGCTCTCTATGAAGTATATACAGCTGTACCGTCCAAGGAAACCATTGTTGCAGGTTAGGAGATAATGAGATTTGTTTTAAGCTTATGGGCATAGTAAAGAAAGATATGTATTTATTATATGTATGTATTGTCAAGGTAAATAAAAAGATATGAAGATGGACTTTTGTGTCCAAAATGCCTGATCATACAATACATGACTAACTCTGTGGACTATATTATATTTAAGCATCCTGTTACATTTACGATGGAGTTTATATTATACATATATAACTCTGTGGAATTGAGTTGTTAATAAGCCAGCAGTCATTCACATATTCAGTTATTTCACAGCATTCTGTAGAATCCAAAAATGCATTACCATCTTCACAAGAGCCCCCCCCCACTTGTCCATATCCACTTTAAAATTATTCTCCCATCTATATGTAAGTCTTTCCTGGTAGTCTCTTTCTTTCTGGCTTTCACTCCGAAACCCATTATGCATTCAATATCATACAGCACACAGTATTTTTAAATAGTAAATAATGCCAGATCAGTTGAGAACTAATAATTTTAAATAAATAATGCTTAAATAGTGTGCACAGTAAACATAAATATCTTTGCTCATTTATAAGAAGCCTGAGTCAGCATGATTTTGGAGACAACCAGTAAGTAAATTTCTTGCATAGTGACTTATACCATAGATTGGTAATGATGGAAATTTGAAGCACTAGTAATTTTATTTAAATATTTGCTTGCAGTTGCAGCTCGTTTAGTGCGCAAGCGAGTCTCCAGCAGCACAATGAATATTTTCTCAGCCAGGTAGTTGAAACACAGCACAATGTAATGTAATATTATGTTGTATGGGTATGTGAAGTAGGTTAACAGTACAGTCCCACAAGTTCAAGTTCCGCTGAATGTTTTAACGATGGCACAATGATTCTGTTTATGTATGGTATCATTTCCTTTTCTTAAAGGAGAGTGAAACAAAATACAAAATTGACAGGAGATAGGAAGACTGTTATATATGAAATAAAAGCCCATTGACTCTTAATGGAGAAGGGGTGGGATTTTGGTTTGACTGTGTCATGAATTTCTTATTTGAAGGTCAGGGTGATTTGCGATGAGTTCTGCCATTGACAGATTAAATTTCACTTAGTGCATGGTGTTGTATGAGGCCTATAGCACTTTTTAAACCTTTATTACCAACATGTCATTTTATCTCATCTGTCATGATTCAAGTCACTGGAGTGAAATGATAATATATACTGTCAAGGTTTGAATTTCACTTCACCTGTGACTTCAGCTCGTAGCCTTGGGTGTGTCTTCATTATGTTTCCATGCATGACATGGAGTAAGCAAGCTAGTATTTGGTAACACTGTACTCTTTAATAAAGTTTTGTATTTTTCAGATACATTGACTAGGCTCAGAACATTGTAAAATGTAACATTCAAAATAAATTTGGAGTTGATATGAACTGAATAAAAACGTTTTTAGTAAAGAAGGCAAATAGAGACACTAGATATGTATTCATATCATATATGGAAGATACTGGAAGTCTTATAGAAGGTACTAACCTGCTTAGGATTTATAGAATGTAAATAAATTCAATTCAATTCAGTAAACCCTCACTAATCTGGTTACAGATAATCTGGATTGAAATATGGAAAATGAAAAATTCTGTTCACAGTTGGGTACATTCTTTAAAATGCACATGGGATTTAGGAGCAGTAGGACTTTCAAACTGTGTTGAGGACAGTTGGAGAGACTGAAGTCATGCAAGAAAATATCCAAGATTGGTTTGAGCTGGATGGAGATCCTGGATTTCAGCTTCTGACAGAGGAATAAATTGTTGCAATGATTCTTATTATTTATTTTCTTCTATATTTCTGACTTTCCGTTTATTCATTTTCTAATTTTTTTAGGGTTGTCTTTTGCTTCATTAATGTGGATTATCAGTTAATCCATGTGACCTCTATCCCCAGATTAATCCAAATTAGCATGGGTTTACTGTACTAGCAGTTGGTTTCCTGCCTGCATGCATAGTGGAATATCTTGTATACAGGTAGATAATTGTTAGCAACATGGGCCATAAATCATGTGTTAAACTTCCTGCTTTGCTTTGTTACAGATAAAGTGAAATATATTGAAATCCTTATTTAATGAATCTATAGGGGAATTATTTTTCTTATGCCACTTAACGGTTATGCAACAGTTAACATCTAACTAATTCTAACTTTTTCACTAATTGTAAGCTTCATCCTCTACATAGACACCATAACTAACAATAAAGAAGAAAAAATGTTATTGATGCCACTTGTCAAAGATTGTAGCTGAGAGTGACATCTGGCATCAAAGAGAGAATTGTGAATAACAGTTGTTTCAACCACAACACTAAATTGATGCATGAAGATTGAACATTGCTTACAGTTAATGTGGGTTATTTACTGAATCAAAATTTGCTAAATAAAAAGAAAAAATTCATTGTTTATATGGCACTTCAGCTGGGACCACAAGGAGTTTTCAATAAATATGGGATTTCGCCAACTGTGGGAACACTGAATTGGGATCTTGTAAAATGAGAAAGTATTACTGTCAGAGTATGTGTTGAACCATTTGAGATTCTTAGTCAAGTAAGGAAGTGTAGCTCAGAGACCTTAGTTAAGAGAAACTATAAATTCTGGGAAGTACAACAGAGTTAATACAATTGCCATTGAGACAGTATCTTGCTGGGGATTGCATCTGGAACAACTGATGAGGATTCTGTGCATGTTAACCTGTTCTAAGCTGCGCTACACTGTTGGCTGTTATAACTGATTATTTATCCACTTCATGCCCATGCTGATAGTTTGCAAGACGTTGAATGTTAGGCCTTTAACAGTCTTTATCTCTATGCCTGTTGGCTCTTTCTGTAATCCTTGAGGAAGGTAAATGATGACAGAAAAAAATACATATCACATGCATTTGCCTGATTTAGTTCATGTGAGACTGCAGTACTTATTAAACAGCCAAAATTACCATAAAAAGTGAGAATTATACTGATGCAGTGTGTCGCAGCAGGGAAGGTGTGTAATTACTGGTGTGCTGAAGTAAATGTCATTTTTGAATATTATATTTCAGCATCCTGTCGCATTGAGGCATCATTCCTGTTATTCAGGTACACTGTCAGTAATGCAGCAGTGATAAAAAAGATGCCTAATATATATATTTTTCACTAAAAGTGTAACTTTAATACTTTAAAATGTTATTAAATATCATAAAATGCCATTAAGACACTGCAAGTATATCTTATACACTAAAAATGATTATCAAAATACTTCAGAATGTCTTTTTGTTTTTCACATTGTTTTTACAATTTTGCAACAAGTTTTGTAGTCTTTACCACCATGTCTCAGAATTTGCAATTTGAAATAGCTTAGGAGTTTGTGGCCAGCCACAAAAGGCAGTTGGGGAGGACATTTCTTCTGCATTTGAATCTAGTAATACAGATATGAGCAGAACAAATGCAGTTACTTTACTGTTGTTAGTTAATATCTCCTTTCTGCCAGGATTGCCTGTTTCATAGTCTTATTTATTATTAATATTATTATTTATTTCATCCATAGCTGTAGAGAATTACAATTGGACATGTCAAATATCAACAACCTCGCATCAAAAATAACATAACATTCACACAGTGATTCATCACTATAATGCAGCAATACATTTCAAAATACATTTTTAACTTAATTTAAGAATAATAAATACTCCATCATCCCAGTTTACAGCTTGTGTTGGTTCCACATTTGCTGTATCATGATCATTGCTCTTAGGGGGCCAGTCATAAGAGAGCGTGACACCTGGGTTAACATTTAGTATTTGCAGTGTGAGCTGGTTGGCTATGTCATATATTTCCCAAGACAGACATTTTCATGCACATGTCTGATGCATATATTGGGGGTGACTTTTCAGTTACAGTTGTGCAGCAAATGTCTGTGATGGATTTGGGGGGTAGATGCCAAGTGTGTTTGGTCTACAGTGGCAGGAACATACATATTTCATATTTTTTGTACTAGTTGTACATTCCTTTGTGTCACCATAAAACATAAACGTAATATCTGGAAAGTTCAGATGCTGCAGCACTTTGATGGGTTTTCTTTTGTTTCCTTTAACACCTTCAGCGCCCTTTACCCTTAATGTATGAAGAATTGCCTGTATTGCTTATCAGTAAATGATCATGGTGAATTTTTGTCTGTAAAGAAATGTTCTCTTTCCTGAACATTCTAACAAACTGACTGGTGGAAGTTCACTGATGTCATAGAGTAATGTACTGTACTGCATCTAGCTTCAGGGTTGAAGAATAAGCTAAGCAGTCGTTCTTCAACCCTGAAGAGGCAGGGAGTATATTCCTCTGAAATGCCTGCACACTTGTACCAGACTACATGGCATCACATCCCAGAAGGTAGTACTCTTCATAGTTACTTCTGTGAGTTCATGCTTCATGTACTGGTAGTTGAATCTCAAGTAACAAGGGCTGTATGTAGTTCTGAGCTCTCAGGTTGCAGTCATACCTTTGGTTTTATATCGAATGAAATGTAGAAATTTGTGATTAATTAATTCTAAGGAGTCTTCTATTTTAGAATAAGTAATGTAGAGTCAGCGGTGCACAATATTTACGTTGGGGTAAGTGAGTTATTACCGCAGAGGGCTTTAGTCTGTCTTCAGCTGCCATTCTCAATTTTATGTCAGATCCTCCTGTATGTTTTAAATGCAAAATCTTATCATTTTGTAGAATATTGTGAATTTAGCTTGAAATCTTCTTGCCTATAAGTTAATTTTATTCTTAAGTTTTAGAGGTATGAAACTTGCAGTAGAGTTTACAAGTTTCAGAAAGCCAAATAAAAGGTGTGTAAAGAGAAGACAGATAAAATTTCTAGTCACATGAAAATTGTTTCCCCCCCCCTTTTCTTCCCCCCCTCCCCGCATAATATTGTAAGTTACATAAACATAGAGAGTTGCGAACTTGAAATTGCTTTAGTAGTCTGAACTACAGGCTGTTACTGAAGCAGGTAGTTCACATTTAAGAGAAATTTTATATGAGGTTGGAAATCCATGACATTGAAGAAAATTGTACAAAGGCAGTTTCTTTTAGCTATTAAAGGCTGTAAACTAACAGATACATGACCTGAAGTTGGACGTATCTATAAATACATTGTTAGAGAAAAATAGTCAGAACTTGCATCTTGTTTAAGTATAATTGTATTTAACATGTATAAATTTGGATAATCATATACTTTGGTGGCTTATTGTCATACCTGACAAACCAAGATAATCTGCTTAAAATTTCTTATGCACAGGTATGTGTTAGGATAACACGCAGACTGTCGAATACTTGATAGTCTGGATCACATTTGAAGGCTAGATGTGAAAACATTTTATTTAGTTTTCAGGCCTGGAAGGTCTATAAAATGAATTGTTTCATAAAAGAACTGTAATTTGAGTTGCATTATCACTTTTAAAGAGAACTGTTTCATATTCCAGTCTACTATACAATTACAGTTACAAAGGATTTAATTATTTCTGTAGCATTTTCTGATGCCTTCATCCTGAAGAATATCAGTAATACAGCAAGAACTTAAACTAGTGTGATTGTACTGTAATGGGTAAAAATGGAAGCAATGAAATCTGTAAGGTTATCTGAAATTGTTACTTACCATCTTGCCTAGTTGTTTCCATGAGGCTATTAACTTCCATTTAAAACAATATCATGGTATAGTGTTATGACCATATTCCATTATCATCGCAGATTGTTATTTTAATTTCTCTAAGGCTATACATTGTTATCAGCTGAAGAATGCAACCGATTAAGATTCCATGCTATTCTGCAATAAGTGAATTGCCTTGTATAGAATATACTTGATATAAATATGTTGTTAATTCATTGATTTCAAAGGGTTGCTTTCTGAAAGAGGCCCAAAATTTTTATTGTATACATTGACGTCTTTTATATGTAACTATATTAATTTTTTGCCATACTATATTTTCATTATTTTATTCAGGGTGTATGTACTGTTCATGGCGTATAATAATTAGATGGCCGTGCTTAACATAGAGGTATGACAACATTATAAGTTATGTATTAGCCATCCTTTTTTATATATTTAACTTTAAGTTCCTGTGCAATATATTTGTTCTTTCTTGTGCAGGCGTTCATAAGCCATGGTTGAATCAGAGGGATACCTCGCCAAGTTAATGGTACTCAGCATTTTGATGTTTGTGTTGGCATACTAGTCCTCTTGTAAAGGAGAATTAACAGCTTTGAAAGGGTTAATTGTATCGATATACTACCTATATTAAACTGAGATGTGGCAACTTACATCTTATTTTAATTAGAAGTTACAGTATTCCATTATGAAGAGAAATAATCTTTGTGACAACTGTAATCCATTAACTCTATGCATATCATGTACTGACTTGATCATCTTGGGTTCTTGCATTAAAACAATCACAGTTGAAGTGATTGGTATATTATTAATCAGTTTATTATTTCTCTCACTAGGTGGCATCAAGTGTGACATACCAATGTTTAGAGGAAAGAACAGACTTTAATTTGATACAGACATGCTGTTGTTTGAAGGTCATTTCAAGAAAATATTCTTGGTTTTTCTTTGCAAGTGCATTTACTCTCAAATAGGTGTGTCATGTTATATTTTAGCGTCCTGTTGCACTGATTTAAGTTCATGATTTGTTTATTCCGTCTTGCAGTGCATGAACTTAAAGGTGTGTCATTTTTAATAGATTGTTCACTGGTGGGATTTGGCAACCAAGGGTTTAAACTATCATTCATTTAAATAAAAGGCTTGATAATGTGAGGAAGTTTGGCTTTAAATTCGTGCAAATTATAGTATGTTTGGCTAAAATTACAGTAACATTCATAGTTTAATCTGTTTGTGTAAGCAAGTAATGTAATATTGCCAAATTATATAAGTGCATGGTTTACGTTACTGTAGTAATTAAAGTTTGTGTGGTAGTTTTGAAGGACTCAGAATATGTTAAATTATTACTGTTGGCACAGAAATGTTAAAGCAAAACAGAACTTTCATCCCGCGTAACTGGTTTCCAATGTCACTGTGAAGATCTTTATTTGAATGCACATCTCCCTTCCATTTTATGAATGTATTGTTCTGAATAAGGATTGGTCTTGGCTGCTGGTAATTCCACAATTCACTGTTGAAAAGTATTTCCACATTTAAAAAATAAAACTTTGTCCTTTGCTGCTCCTTGGCCAAAATCCACTAGTATGAAAGCCCTTCCTTCACTTACAATTTGATACATTCCAGTTCAGACACTTATGAATACCATTCTCCATCTCTTCATTATCATAATTGTTCACCAATATGTCAACATGAATCATCCACAGAATATGTACTGTCACGTGTTCGGTATATGTCACACGACAAATAACTTCATGCCCTCTTGGATGTAGCGAATTTATTGAACACTCGCTCTCACACTCGCACAGTTCACAATTACAGTTACTGCCATCGGCAGTATCACAATTACATCCACTGCTCTCAGCGACTGCTAGACCTCTGCTGCACTCGACGACTTCACAATCCACACTGTGTCACTCCTAATCACACACAATTGTCACATACTGCTCAGCCGGCTTTTTATACTGTTCCCTGTTGCCTCATGTTATAGTGGTGTCCCCTGTTACATCACAGTGGGAAGTGCTGTTACGTCACCGCGGGGGAGGGGGGCAGTGTTGACTGGCCTGTAACCGTAGCAGCGACAGCCCTCCAAGGCTGTTACGTCACCACTGGTGGGGGAGGGGGTGTCCTGCATAGCACAAATACATCACGGTACTGTGACTGAATCTAATAAACTTTGTTCTGTGTCATTGAACTTCCCAGTAGACATTGTTCGAGCAGCCCAGCTACTGCCAGCCGTACTGGCTTCATGTTAGGAACTAAACTGTGTTTTGAGGAAATCCCTCATTCATTATATGAAACCAAACATTCTCATTGAAATATGATTCTGTCTTGGAATAAATAAACATTAACAGACTAGGCTTGTGAACATAATTTCAAGCAGTTATGAGTATCTGACTCATGACGTCAGACAGAACCTCTTGACAGTATATGGAATTACACTTTGTCTTAACCATCTTTCACAGTAAATCATACCGTGAGCAAGCAATTTTATGGAAGAAAATTCCTGTGTGTTTAAACCAGTCTGCAGTGTGGCAATTGTAGTTTCAGTTATTTCAAAGTATAGGAATTCCTGCCAAACTTCACAAAATTACTGCCATATGTATGTAGTGTCAATGTGCACTGTCTTACAGTGAAATAAGTCATCTTGAATAAAAGAACAAAGTATGTGTTATTTCTGTCAATTCTGATAATACAGCACAGTCAAGACTCGTGGCCGAACACTGCCCATTGATGGCTGCATGGGGGGAGGTGGAAGCATTTACCATGGATCACAGCTCTGTCCTGGAAGCATGCAACCTTTATGTTAATATAATTGTATGTAGAAAGTAGTTTCACTTTGGAAGTAATTTTATGCTCTTAAAGAGGATTCCGTTATTTTTCTAGTAATCTTAAGATGTAGTCTTGATTGTGTAAAAGGTAAAACATGAAGCTATCACTGTAACAGGCTGTGGAGGCCCATAAGGTTGTGAAACGTCGAGGCTCCCACATTTTCTATACAGTCGACTTACAGATGGTGGTGAGTCTCTCAGCCTTACGATCCAGCCACCCTTTACTCCCAGAAAGATTACTGGTACTCATTTCTGTTAGGGCTGAGTCAACCCCAGGGCCATAGTGCAGCTGGAAGGATTAGGTCAATTGAAAAATCCAATGACCTTGTGACAAATCGAACCCGTGACATGGCTTGTAGCATAGCATCTTAACGAACTACACTACTAGATGCCCCCAGTCTTTATTGTGTGCTATTTATAATACAAACAGTAGAAACAAGAAAACATTAAAGATATTCCTCCATATCTTGCAGCCTTCTTAAATCTACTGATGGATGAAATTAAACTGCTACCATGACTAAAATACATTGCAAATCACTGTTTAAGATGTTGACTGGAGATGTTTTCTTCAATGAGGAGAGTGTGAAAATGAGAACTCATCTCAACTTATGCCACAATAAAACTTGTTTGTTCTACAAGAGGTTGGCAGAAGTGTGCTCAGGAAGAAAAAAAAAACTTGAGGGTTTTCAGACATTCACTTGATGAGATAAGAAAATGTTTCTGCTGACGTTACTCCATATGGAATGATAGAGTGGAAATAAGCAAAGTAAATTTATTTTAAAGTTCATTTTAACGTTTTTCAGAGTAATGTGACTCCCCAAAGCACAGCATAGGGTTACGTATGAAATTAGACAATGGAAAAAATAGGAAATGAACTTACGACTGAAAGAATTCTCAGATTCACAAAGAATATGTTAATTCAGTTGAACCTTTGACAGTAATGAGGTGCTGGCTAACGAAACGAACACTGGAAGTGAACTAAATATGAAGAAATTTGCTCTGTGAATGACATGCATGTCATTTTCTGATGTGGCTATTACCTTGTATGTGCCCATTATGATATCTTTAAATCCATTTTCTAAAGAATTTTATGATCTTTCATAGTGCTGTGGCAGGTACTCTACTTATCCAAGGTCCTTTTCATGAGCAGTTGCAGGGATAGCTCATCAGTCTATATAGCACACAAGCTTGTGGGGGCTCTGGATTGTGGGCTCGAGGTTTGATTCCTGGTAGGGACAGATTTTTAGTGTACTTTTCATATTTTTAAAAAATGAAAGGAGTCTTATGAGATCACCTTGCTGTCTGTGTGACAGCAGAGGTCGCTAGGCAATGGCTCAGTAAACACATTCCCATGGCAATGAATACACACATAACAATATGTTGACTTCATGTTTTCTCTGCATTCTGTGTCATATCAAATACTCTGTATGCAGTGAAAGAAAAGTAGACAATTAATTCTTCCAAGAACTTCTTGTTTTCCTTCACTACTACATCGAGCCTGACTCTGGGACCCACCTACATCCAATCTGTGGATGCCAGGGGTTCTTTCCCAGAAGCATGAAGCTAATCATTGACCTCAATCTAATGCTGAAATTTAAAATTCATGGAGCTGTACCTCCGCTTCCTCACCATCTTCATATAATTAAGCACTTTACTTTTCACCTAAGTAGGTTCCAGTCTTCTTATGTGGCACAAGAGACCAATGCGGCCCGAGTCGTCTCATTTCATGCATTTAAAAATCTTATTTATAGACATTTTGTAGGATTCTTTGGATGGGGATCAGTCTGTCACAAGGCCTGTACCTTCACAGCAGGATAAAAAAAGCAGAAAAAGTAGATATATATCCATGTCCCATGTGTGATTTGAACTTGCAGTCCCAGTGTTCCAGTGGTAGAGGACAGTACATCACAAAAAAGTAATTGACTGGAAATGAATTTACTGATAAGTGACCATGACATTCTGAATGTTTTAAACATAATTTCTGAAGTCTTTGTACTCTTTCACACAGCAAAATACAGCCAGCTAATGTTTATACATCATTCCATTCTATTTTGTTAAGTTTTGCTCATTTATTTCACTTTATGTGTTGTCTAGCATAAACTTGATGGGCTTACCAAGGCAGAGAAGTTCACTGGCATATGATGCATGTGCTAATCCTGTATGACATTTCTGTTATGACTTCCATCATAAGGAATATGGGTTGCATGTTGCATGAGCATGGAAATGCCAAATACAGAAAGAGGCAAACTGAACTGCATGAACAATGATGGAGAACTTCATTCTGTTGGGGGTTTTCTGTGTAAATATATATTTTATTGGTTTTATGTGGAAAAAAATTATGATATAGTTTTTAGAAAGAGTGAGTGTATCTCATTCATATATTTTAATATATTTAACAGAGATGCCAGTTCCAGTACAGATTATCCATTGTTTGAATGGTCTTCCAATTAGTTACCATTTAAAAGCTTTACAAACTTTGGATTAGTGTTTTTTATTGTCGTGGTTTACACAAATTCTGAATTCCTATGTCACACCATTCTTTCTTTCCCTTAGACAGTTTTGGCTAAGGAAATACTGTAACTTTTTATACCTTAAAGTTGCCAAAATGGTGTTGGTGTTCTTTAATTTTGGCTTGATTCTTCACAGAGTGGTGAGCAATACTGCAGACAACTTGTTTCACAGGTTGGCATCTCTGTTCAGATGTAATAACTTTCCAACATAAATGCAAAAGCCTTTTCAGTTACTTAGATGTAGATAATGTGTTTCTGATTTTTAAAATAAATTTAAGGCCACAAATAATGGCTGTTATGATATTTACATATTGAGTTTTACTAATGTACAGTTTCTTTGTATTACCAATGTGAGTGAAGTTTCAGAGATGTGTTAATTTGGTATAATAAGGTGGAAAACAGATATTTACAGTGGTACCAATAAATAGTTTGAATGAAAAAACTAGTCTTATAAAATGTTTTGTATATAGTAATTCAGAG